CCCTTCCTCACCCCCCATTCCTCACCCGGGCCTCATCCTTATGCCTTGTCCGTATGCCCCTTGCAGCTGCCCTGACTTGTAGTAACTGTTCCATGTCACAGGGCTGGTCAGGGGCTGGGCAGGAGGAAAGTCAGGACGTCCTGGCCCGGAGTTAGGGTGCTTCCTTCAACACTCTGCCCTCTGTGCATGTTCCATAAATCATATGAAGTGACGATTACTTCCTAACTATTCCTCACCCGGGCCTCATCCTTATGCCTTGTCCGTATGCCCCTTGCAGCTGCCCTGACTTGTAGTAACTGTTCCATGTCACAGGGCTGGTCAGGGGCTGGGCAGGAGGAAAGTCAGGACGTCCTGGCCCGGAGTTAGGGTGCTTCCTTCAACACTCTGCCCTCTGTGCATGTTCCATAAATCATATGAAGTGACGATTACTTCCTAACTATGAATAGGTTAAATATCTTGAGAAAACGAATTCTTTTAAATGAGAGAAAATTTTATGTAAGAATCTCAGCCCTTGGCTGTTTCACAAGAGACTGTATGATTCCTGCTCCGATTATTCCCGGCAGCGCAACAGGGAGGTCCAGAACAAGCTGTTTGCGCGGATAGCCCAGCAGTACGCCTCGCTGCTGTCCCGTGGGGCCCGGCCCCACTCGGAAGAGGCTGTCTTAAACGTGAGTGTCAACCTCTGTTTGGAAAAAAATCACATAAGGGAGTAATTGGTAAGCTGTGATGTACTCACACACTGACGTGTGTGTGTACACGCACGTGTGCGCGCACCCAAACACACGGGAAACTCGGGTAAAACCATGCATGAATCTTACCAGTGTTCTCTGAGTGAGAAGACTATAGTTTTTTCCTTCTTCCCTTTTCTTTCTGGAATTTAAATGGATTGTGTGTTTCCTGGATCCACTATTCCTATGTGACCTTCCAACCCATGTCCTTCTGACCCTCGTCAGGCACAGCCACACGTGCTCACATCCTGTGTCCTGTGTGGGTGAGGACAGTGACTAGGGAACTATTTTATGTCCCATTAAGAGGTCTCGTTGTGAATGTTTCCTTAGCCCCAATCCCAAGCAAAACTGCGCGTCTCCTGGGATGCTGTTGGCCTTATAGCTGATGCCAGTCCCTGCTTCTCTTTGGTTTCCAGGAAACGGAAGGAAAATTGGTACCTTTGCCTTTGAATAAGGCCCCTCTTCCATCCTGCTCAGGGGCCATCCCTGACTTTCACTTGCCTTCTCACACCCTCTCCTCCACCCTGCTCTCCCTCCACCCTGCTCTCCCTCCACCCTGCTCTCCCTCCACCCTGATCTCCCTTCACCCTGCTCTCCCTCCACCCTGCTCTCCCTCCATTCTGCTCTCCCTCCACCCTGCTCTCCCTCCCCACTGCTCTCCCTCCACCCCTGCTCTCCCCCCACACTGCTCCCCCTCCA